CACTGGCTCGGCCCCAGGAGGCGGCGGCGGAGCTCCTGCAGGTGGTGAAGGCCAGCCTGGAGGAGATGCCAGCGCTGGCAGCGACGCGCCTTCTGCTCCAGCCGCTGAGGGCGAGGCTGGAGGCCCCCCCAAGGCGGGCGACTTGCGTGCCCGAGTCGCGAGGGCGCTGCCCAATACATCCCCCCCCCCCCCCCCCCCCCGCGGCCGCGGGGGGGGGGGGGGCGCGGGAATCAGCCTGAGAACACAACACCCTCCAAGCAGCTGGGTAAGTTGCTCGATCACTTTGCCTCGCGCGTGTTTCGCCAGGCGTCTGCTCGCTCGACCATCGCTCGCTGCTGCCGCCGCATCCAGCGTCTCCCCTTTTTCTGTTCGGAGGGTGGACGCCTTCCGACTGCTGTGAGCCAGATGCCGAGCGAGCAAGCAGTGCTGCCAAGCCGTGACGGTCTGCCAGCCTATTATTCAGGGCCTGTGTTTTGCACCCCACCCCGACCCCCCCAGGAGCAGTTTTCCCTTCACGTACAGACCGTCAATGGGACATTTGGGGCTCGATGCGGGACTGGATCATGTCCTCGACCGCCCACGTCATTTTGATCCAGGAACACAAGTTGATTGCAGGGGACTCCGTCGATAAGGCTTCGCAGCGGTGCTCGGCTCGCGGTTTCAAAAGTACGTGGGAACCAGCGGCTTCTGGTAAAGGATATTCTGCCTCTGGAGGCGTCGCTATCCTGGCGAGGGGCTTCCTAGGGCTACACCTTCCTCCTGAAGGCTCGCAGGTCTGGCCCCATCCCGTGGCGGCAGGAGTTGTTCATCCTCCCCGGGGTTATGAAACCAAGGTTCTGTCTTGCTATTTGGTCACCTCCCAGGGGCTGTCGGACACCAATGTCAGCATCCTGGCTGCTATCTGCAGCCCCTTGCACGTTGCTGGCAGCGGAGGGCTCGCCGGAAGGGGTTTCAACCTGCAGCCAGAGGACTTGGAAGGCATTGGGGTTGGCGCCAAACTCCAGGGACAGGCTTTGGCCCCGTCCGACCCGACGTGCTTCATGGCGTCTCCTCCTACTCGGTATGATTTTGTCTGGGGCCCCTCGGGTCTGGCCAAGGCTGCGCGCAGTATCAGCGTCAACAATGGTGCCGATGTCTTCCCCCACTGCCCCGTCGACCTGGTGTTTTACCCTCGGCTCGCTGATTTACAGGTGCTGGTTTTTCGGAAGCCGCCACCTCTTCTTGCGCAGGCGCCGCTCGGTCCACGCGCCGAGCCTCCGCCCTGGGACCAAGTGCTGGAGATGGCAGATCACGCCGTCCAAGGGGAGCTTTTATCTAATCTCGATCAGTCCTGGGCCAACCTTTCGGAGAACAAAAAAAAAAATGCGTTCCATTTTCGGCGTCGATTTGCCCTGTTACGGATCGAGGGGGGGGGGGGGGGGGGGGGGGAATCCTCAGACCTTCTGGAAAAGCCTCCACAAGAAGGACCAGCAACCACGTTATCCCGAGCTGTTTTGTGCGCGTTGGCTCCGCGCGCGGTATTTGGGCTTGGGCAGGTGTCTGAGGGCTTCTGAAGAAGCTTGGAGCGATGTCGGCATTGGGCTCGCGCGGTCTTTGCTGGAAGTTCCTGGGTACATCGCGGACAACCAGGGGGGCTCCTTCGACATTTCTCAGCAAGCCAAAGTTGCTCTGGAACCGATCGGCTTTCTCCAGGCTCGGCCCGCGGATTTCGACCAGCAGTTCTCGGATCTAGGTGGCAGGATAGCAGAAGCCCTCCAGTGCACTACTGGCCGCTACCAAGCGATTGGCCGCAAGGACTGGAAGTCGTGGCTGACGTTTAGGTTGGACCAGGGGGGGAAGCGAGCCCACAGCGTGCTTCGGGGCCCGTCGGCTTGGAAGCCGACGTCCACGTTTTCCGCGGGGGGGTGCGTCGCGTCGGGCCCTATGTCTCTCCTGGACGCCGAAAGCACCAAGCTCTCGGGCTACTGGGAGGCATCCAAAGGCCCTCGGGACTCGGCCCCTGGGGGGCTGCACGAGCCGCTTCCCCATCTTGGACCCTGACACGCCCAGGGATCTTTCTAGGCGTTACAAGGCGACCAGCGCCGTAGCCGTGGACGGCTTCCACATGCGCCATTTCTCGCTCCTTTGCGACGACGGCCTCCGAGTGGTTGCCATCCTGTTTTACCTCATGGAACGTCTGGGAGCCCTGCCCTCCCAGCTCCAGGCTGTGATCATTGCGTTGCTCCCCAAGGCTGTCGGAGGTTGACGACCAATCGGAGTTTTCGGAGGATTGCACAGGCTTTGGGGCAAAGCGCGCAGGCCGACCGGCTTGCAGTGGGAGCCCGACCACGAGCGTCAGTTTTTTGCAGCGGGGCACCACCGAGGCGCCCTGGACGTGGTCTGGAGGCAAGCATATAGGGCTGAGATGGGCACTGCTGAAGGAGAGGAGGCAGCTAGTATTCTGTGGGATATGCACAAATATTACGAACTGTTCAACTTGCGCAGGCTCGAGCTTTGTGCTTTAAGGCTGGGTCTCCCACCTGGGGTCCTTTTCCTCACCTTGGCTGCCTATCGAGCTCCTCAGTTTCTTTCTATGACAGGGGTGATCAATGGCCCGTGGTATGTGACTAAGGGGTGTCGTGGCTGGCTGTAGCTTCGCAACCACACATGTAAGGATTTACTCGATCGAAGCTTATGACAAGGTCCCGCGGTCTCCGAGAACGTACTTTGATAGTTATATCGACGATAACACGTTATCCTCGGTCGGTGCCCCCCGTCTTGTGATTAAGGAGCTGATCGAGGCTGCCGAGGCCCTCCACCACGCCATCACAGTAGACATGGAGGCGAAGATCGCCATGGACAAAGTAGCGCTGATCTCTTCTAGCCCAGCGGTTGCGGCAGCTCTCCAGGCGCATTTCGGGGACCTTGCGGGTCCGCACCTTTCGGTCACTACTAATTTGGGAGTGGGCGCTACCGCTGGGCTAGCCAGGCGACAGGCTGGCAGGTCTCAGAAGAGCAAGGTCCGCATGACTATGTTCAAGAGGAAGGTTGCCTGGCTGAAGAAGCAGCGCCCCTTTTTGGGCAGACGTGCGATGAAAATCTGTTCGTCTGGACCCATCCCTGGGGTGCTCTATGGCTGCGCGGTTTTCGGGATGTCCGACGACGAGCTTCTGCAGGTTCGCAGGGGGGGCTGTTTCTTCTATTAAGCCGCCTGCTGGAATGAGGTCTCTTTCGGCCCTCATGATCTTAGAAGATGACCCTGGCTGGTTCGGCTCCGTGGGTCCCGCGGTCAGTTATTCTCAGAAGATCTGGTTCAGGCATACCTTTTTGTTCGATGGCGCGCTTTCCTGGCACGAGCTCCGGCAAGGGTGGGAATCGGACTTTCGGAGCTCTCGGAAAGTTACCTGGAGGCGCGCGTCAGGTTTGGACTCGAGAGCGAGCTTTCAGTTTAGGCTACCAGGTGGGCAGCTCCTTTTGCCAGATGTGCGGAGTTGGGCCAGACACGCTACTGCATCGCCTGCGGTTGCGCCAGCACTGCGACGAGCAGCGCAGGGAGGTCTTGGGCGACAAGGGGGCAGGTTTCATCGACGACGCGGACTCGACTGAAGATCCCTTGCTTTTCACCAGAGGGCTCTTCCAGCATCCTGGGGACGCAGCGCCTCTACCTTGTTCTGACGGCGGTGTGATTTTTGTTCCCGCTCCTGGGGGTCTTTTGAAGAGGGTGAACACTTCAAGCTTCAGGGCGAACTGTTTATTGACGGCCCCTGTGCCCGTCACCCTATTCGGGAACTTTCCAGGACGGGCTCTGGGGCCCAGGTCCTAAACCAGGACGGATCCCTCGGAGCTGGCGCGTTTGCTCCTCTTTGGGCGCCGTGGCCCCAAACGCCCCAAGGCGGAGAGTGCGGCATCTTCGCGGCTGTTGCACATATGCTGGCTGGCCCAACCACTATCTATTCAGATTGCCAGTCTGTAGTTTGCCATGCACAACTTGCCAGGCAGCAAGCCTTGTCGCACAAGAGAATGCACTCGGGCTTCATGCTCCAGGGTCGCATGGGCGATCTTTCACGTGCGCAGGCAGTCATCAAGGTGCATGCGCACCAGGAGCTCGATGAATCGCTGCCTGCTCGCGAGTACTTGTTGAAGCTTGGGACCACCACGCGGATCGCCTGGCCAACCTCGGGAGGGACGACACGCCCTTCCGAGCCCAGCTGAGTCGGACGCGATTTGGGGGAAGGTTCCCGCTGCGCGCCTGGTAGCGAGTAGCGAAGTTAGCCGCGCGGACCCTGCCCCTGTGGCCGCGTTTGGACCTTCAGGATGCGGGGCGGTTGGCCCATGAGTCGGTCGTCTCTGGCGCCAGGAAGGTATAGCCCACAACTGGGTCCAGCTCAGGCAGCCTTGGCAGCGTTCTGTTTGCCGGAGGGGCTCTCGGCCCCCTCAGCCACCCGCCTCTAAGTGCCCAGGTGCCGACGGCTTGCGAGGCCTCAAGGCGGAAGATTTGTCGCACCTAGGGCACACCATTGCTGCGCACGGTTGCTCGGATGGCTCTTTCGTCGCCGCGCGCACTCGTTACAAGCTGTATTCGACGGGTGGCAGAGTGCGAGGACTGCGCGAGCGCTGTCCCACGGAGCCCGTTAAGTTGTCTGATCCCTCCATGCGCGGGCGCAGACATTGCTGGAATCGCATTGCCAAGGGCTTCCATCCCAAGGAGGATGACGCCACCCTGCAGCATGTGGACCTGGCGGCCGAAGGCACACTGGACGCCCCCCCTCTCGTTGAGCCCCCCCCCGAGCCCCCCTCCTCTCAGGAGCAGGCCGAGAGCCCAGGTCAGGCGCTGCTCAGAGTAGCAGCCGACTTGGCACGTTACCGCACCGCGGTGCGGCCTGCGCAGGCGATATACGAGCCAGCGTCACAATCGAGCTGCAGTGGCCGATCGGCCACCAACGCCAATTTGAAGGCACCCACGTCTGCAGCTGGAGCTGCGGCGGGCGCCTCTCTCTCTCTCGTCCCCACTTTGCGCTGGACCCAGTTTATCGAAATCTACTGTAGTCAGGACGTCGCGCAGCAGCGCGAAGCTCTCGCGTAGTAGCGGCATTTCCAGGCTCCCTGCCCAGTCCCCGTTGCCTGGAGCGGGGCATTCTAAAGCCAGGCAGCCCGTGCAGTCCCCTCGGCCTGGAGAGGGGCAGCTTGACCCTGACAGCTTCGAGACGGAGGACGAGATGGCTCGTCTTTTTCTCTGAGCTTCCGCGGAGGAGGAGTCTGTCGTTAGGTCGTCGTCGGTGGATGGCGGAAGAGGTCCTGTGTCTACCTCGGCGCATGGGCGTCCTGGTTCGACTGCTGAGTCAGGCTCACACCAGGGGCAGAGTTCGCTGCCGTCCTGGCGTAGGTTACACCAGGGGTAGAGTGCTGTGTCGTCCTGGCCGCATTCGTGTTGTTTGTGAGCGCGCTTGCACGTGTGTCAGGCACCCCAGTTGTGGGGAAGGTGCGCAGCACGTGTGATATGTTCCGACCTCTCTGGGCCTGGCACGGGGGCGGTGTTCAGCCCCGACCGATGCCCTGCCCCGCAGGCTTTTATGTCTCTACCGCCTGTAGCCTTTGCACCTTGCGTTTGAGCGGAAGACGGTGGGTCCTTTGATCGCTCCGCCCAGTTGGCACAGGCCGCATTTGGAGGGCCCACCATGGGTGCACTGGTTCGGTGATTTGAGTCAGGCCCACACCAGGGGCGCAGTTTGGCCGCCGTCCTGGCGTTTCATTACACCAGGGGTTGGCCTGCTGCGTCGTCCTGGTGTCGCCTTGTATTCTCTGTTTTTGCGTGTCGTTTGCGTCTCGTGCACGTGTGTCAGGCACCCCAGTTGTGGGGGAAGGTGCGCAGCACGAGTGTTCGTTTTGGTTTTGGTTGGCACAGTGGCCGCCCTCCTTCAAGAGGAAGACGACGCCCTTCTTTACCTGCCGTCTGTACAGCGAGTGGCCGACTCTGACTGACTGGCGCCATTTCGGCGCCCGACGGTTTCGGTCTCGTCCCTTTTTATATGTCTTCTCGCCGCTCAGCTCAGCTGCCGCGGCCGCTGCTGTCGTGGCTCCGCCCGTCGCAGCGATGCGTGCTGGCCGTGTCCCGTGCCAGCCGCTGCGGTCGACCCTGACCTGTACAGGGGTCATGCCGCTCAGCGCACTTCCCTCCACCTGTGCAGTCGTGGAGGGTGCTGTGCTTCTCTGGCGTTGATGCTGCAAAAAAAATCCTCCTCATCCTCCTCCTCCTCCTCCTCCTCCTCCTCCTCCTCCTCCTCCTCCTCATCCTCATCCTCCTCCTCCTCATCATCATCCTCCTCCTCCTCCTCCCCCCTCCTCCTCCTCTTCATCCTCCTCGTCCTCCTCCTCCTCCTCCTCCGCCTCCTCCTCCTCCTCCTGCTCCTCCTCCTCCTCCTCCTCCTCCTCCTCCTGGTCAGGACCCCCCCCCCAATCTGCTTGCGCGACTGATAGTCGGAGAACGACGGAGCACCGGCCCATGGGGTCCCAGAAGCCCGCGGGCGCCTGCAAAGGCTTCTTCCTCCTCCTCCGAGGAGGGAAAAGACGCGAAAGAGGACGGAGGGTTCCGCGGGGTCGTGTCGTGTCGCCCCCAGCGCTGGTTCCTGACACCGCGGGGATCGTTCAACCTTGAACGATCGGCCGTTTCCGAAACGTCAGATCGTTCAACATCGACCAAACCTGGGTCGCTGGCGGCGCTGAACGTTGAACGCCAGCGGCGGGGTCGCCAACGGTCGAGGCAGGCAGAGGCAGGCGCTGCACTTCGCGCTGGAGCGCGGCCCTCTAAGAGCGCAGCGGAGGCGCCGGAGCGCCGAAACTCGCTTCTTGATGACATTCTCCAACTAGGCCTGCCCTATAGGAGTCCTAGCTCATCATAAGAGATTGGTCTTTAGCACCCCCCTCCTTTTTCCAATGGCACCCCCCTTTTTCCAGTGGCACCCCCCCTTTTTCCAATGGCGTTAGCTTGCTTGCTCGTGCGTGTTTGCTCTCGCTTACTTGCTCTTGCTTGCCCTTGCTTGCTTGCACTTGATCGCTGGCCCTTGCTTGTTTGCTGTTGTTCGCCTGCGCTTGCTTGCTTCCGCTCGCTTGCATGCGCTTGCTTCATTTTGCTCCTCCCGTCCTCCTCCCGCTTTTGAATGCTCCTCCTGTAGAGGGACATGCCCGACTTGAGACAGGGCGAGGCGGTGCTCTCGCCGCAGCGCCGCGCAGGGGCTCTCGGGAGCCGCCCGCCCTCGGCCCGCGTCCTGAGGCGCCTACCCCCCCGCCGAGCCGCCGCCGGCGGGGCTCCCACGCACACGGGCGCCTTCCGCTGGCCAGGCGGGCACGCGCTCTGGCAGGGATCGACCTGCCTTTGTTTAAACAGACGAGCGCGTTCCACGACTCGCAAAGTAGCCACTCGCAAGTGGCCTGGATCCGCCGCGGGGGAGCTACACATTGTACATCGAAGCAGACATGCGTGTTTCGGGCGTTTGCGAGTAGGCACTTGCCCAGACATCCGACGTCTCGCTGTCTTCGTTTCACGGGCCCCCGACCCCCCGACCACTTCCCCGAGACCGCTTTCTCGTCCCGACTCGCTTTTTGACGGTCCCGAGGCCCGGCAAGGGCCCCGAGAGGCCGAAAAGGCAGAAAAACCCACCGTCTCGCTTTTGGTCGAGACGCCCGACGCCTGGGTCTGCGAGTGGTGGAACGCAGTCGGTGAGTTTGACCCGCAGCGCCGGCGGACGCGGGCGCGGGGGTCGGGGCCGGCGGGGCGCGCCGGGCGCGCGGCGCGCAGGGCGAGCGGCAGAGCAGGGGGCGGGCCGCGGAGGAGGGGGAATAGGCCCTGGCAGGGCTGGAAGAGGAGGAGGAGGAGGAGGAGAAGGAGGAGGAGGACGAGGAGCAAGAGGAAGAGGAGGGGGAGGAGGGGTAGGAGGAGAAGGAGGAGGAGGAGAGGAGGAGGAGGAGAGGGAGGAGGAGGAGGAGGAGGAGGAGGAGAGGGGAGAAGGAGGAGGAGGAGGAGGAGGAGGAGGAGGAGGAGGAGAGGGAGAAGGAGGAGGAGGAGGAGGCCCTGGCAGGGCTGGACCTAAACGCCTTGGGTTCGTGTGGCGTTTCGTTTTACGCCACCTGTTTTCTGGTACCTTCCCTGCCAGAACGAAAAGCAAAACACGGCCGAAGTCCTGCAAAACAGCATTGAGGTCCAGCCCTGGGCCCTGGGATCGGCCTGAACAGTGGTTTTCGTTCTCGTCGTGTCTTCGGTGTCCCTCGCTTTGTCTTCGTTCGGCCGTTGCCGCAAAACGAAGTCGAAGCGAAAACGGCAACGAAAGTGCGTACGTAGTTGCGCACGTAGTTGCATACACAGTGTAGCAGAGGCGGGAGAGATGGGTTTGCAGCAAGGCTTCCCAAACTCCGCAGCCGTCTTTAGCCTCAGAGGCCACGTAAGGGGCCGTTCTAGCAGCACGCATTTACTCTACACTCGTTGGGTCAAGGAAAAAAGCCTTGTGTCGTGCCCTGCGTTCCGCAATACCAACTTGCGCTGCACTGATTCCGAGGGGGAGGGCAGAAACGAGAAGGGCCCGCTGGCTCACTCGAGCCGGCCTGGTTATCCGCCCCTCCTCCTGCTCATACTCCTTCCCCCCGAGCGCGCATCCCCGTGCAAAGGCAGGAGGAGGAGGAGGAAGAGGAGGAGAAGGAGGAGGAGGCGCAAAGGAGGAGGAGGGGGAGGAGGGGGAGGAGGGAGAGGAGGAGGAGGAGGAGGAGGAGGAGGAGGAGGGAGGAGGAGGAGAAGGAGAGGGAAGAGAAGGAGGACGAGGAGAGGAGGAGGAGAGGAGGAGAAGGAGCAGGAGGAGGAGAGGAGGAGAAGGAGGAGGAGGAGGGAAGGAGAGGAGAGACGAGGAGAAGAGGAGGAGAAGGAAAGGAGGAGGAGGAGGAGGAAGAGGAGGGGGAGGAGAAGGAGGAAGGAGAAGGAGAGGAGGAGGAGGAGGAGGAGGAGAGGAGGAGAGGGAAGGCAGGAGGAGGGAGGCGAGAGGGAGGAGGAGGAGGAGGAGGAGCGAGGGAGGAGGAGAGGAGAGGAGAGGAGAGGAGGAGGAGGAGAGGGAGAGGAGGGGGGGGGGAGGAGGAGGAGGGAGGAGGGAGGAGGAGGAGGCGGAGGAGGAGGAGGAGAGGAGGAGGAGGAGGGAGGAAGAGGAGGAGGACGAGGGGGAGGAGGAGGAGGTGGAGACGGGAGGCGGGAAAAGGGAGAAGGCTAGGGGAGGATGGAGGATGGAGGAGGGAGGACGGATGAGGGAGGAGCAGGGAGGAGGGGGTAAGAGGAAGAGGGAGGAGCGAGGAGGAAGACGAAGGGCAGGAGAAGGAGCAGCAGCAGCAGCAGCAGCAGCAGCAGCAGCAGGAGGACACTGAGAAGGAGCAGGAGAGGAATTACAACGAGGGCGGAGAAGGAGCAGGCGGAGGAGGAGCAGCAGGAAAAGGAGGATGAGGAGGAAGAAGAGCAGGAGCAGGAGGAAGGAGGGACGAGGGGGGAGGAGGAGCAGCCGAGAACGAGGAAGCCCCTCCGCACCCCCTGGACCTGCACGCCGAGCTCGCTCTCGAAGGCCTTGCAGCCAACCGCGCGGGCGCCGGCGCTAGCTCCGAGAGGCCGCGACTTGCGCGCCGAGAACGCGGCCACCGCGGCGACCTGGGTATAAAGGCGATACAAGGGGCGAGGAGGAGGGCGGGGGAGGGGAGGAAGAGGGCTCGGGATGGAGGGGGGGAGGGCGGGAAAGGGGAGGAAGAGGGAGAAAGCAGGAGCGGGGAGGTCGCGGGAGGGGGGGGGGAGCGGAGTGGGGAGGGAGGGGAGGAGGAGGGGAGGAGAAGGAAGGAAGGAAGAGGAGCAGGAGGACGAGGACGAAGAGAAGAGGAAAGAGATTGGAAACTGGGAGGAAGCTGGAGAGGGGGGGCAGGAGAGAACGAGAAGGAGAAGGAGAAAGAGCAGGAGGAGAAACAGGATAACGAGGATGGGGAGGATAACCATAAGAATATATTCAACTTACAAGAAGAAAGCAGAAGAAGAAGAAGAAGAAGAAGAAGAAGAAGAAGGGGAAGAACGCCGGGTAGAGAAATGAGGTAGGAGAGGAGAAGGACGAGAAGGAGAAGGAGGAGGAGGAAGAGCGAGAGACGGAGCAGGGGCACAAGCAGGAACAGGGGGAGGAGGAAGAAGAAGACGACGACGAGGAGGGAGGAAGAGGAGGAGGCAGGAGAAGGAGAGGGAGGAGGAGGAGGAGGAGGAGGAGGAGGAGGAGAAGGAGGAGGAGGAGGAAGAGGAAGAAGAAGAAGAAGAAGCAGAAGACCAAGGAGAAGAAGAGGAGCTGCTGCCTCTCGGGGGGAGCCCTCCCCGCCCAGCCCCGCAAAAGGACACAGGAGGTCCCAGGAGGGCGGACGACCCTGCGGGGAGCCCCGCCTCACGCCGTGGCGGCCGTGGAGCCCGCGCCCGTGCACGAGCACGGCAGGCACCGCAACACGAGCCAGGGCTGGTCCTAAGCGTTGCTTTTCGTGTTGTGTTCGTTTTGTGCCTCTTTTTGCTCCACCTGTTTTCCTGTACCTCCCTCCCAACACGAAAAAACAAAGCACAGCCGAAGTCCAGCCGAACAGCGTTCAGGTCCAGCCCTGGCATGAGCAACATGAGCAACATGACCCCTGCTGGCTTTCGGAAGCCGAGCCCCGTCCGGGCAGCCATCGCCTGGTTGGGCTTCCCCGCGCTGGGGCGCGAATGAATGGGGGGCGATAAATCAGGGGGGAGAAAAGTGCTCTTCTCGGGCCCCAAGGCCCTCTTTGGAGCCCTAAGGGACCCCTTAAGGGCCCCTTTTCAGCAGCCCTCGCTGCCCCCGCATTCATCTGCCCCAATTAATCCGCGCCCAGCACGCGCACTGGCGTGGCGTGCCGGGTGCGTGGCGTCGCCATCTTGACAAGCGTGCCCCACCAGCGTAACCTCGACCAGAAGGCCGAGGCTGGGCCCCCCCTGGCTCCTGGGCCACCGACGCCAGCCCCAACCACGGCGACCATGAGGCCCTCCTGCTGCCGCCTTTCCTCCCGGCGTGCAACTACGGCGCCCCCCACGCGACGACCCCAGACGACCCCCTGCCCTGCGACCCCCTGCCCGACGACCCCCACGAAGGTCTCCACCGCCCCCTGCCCTGGCCGACGGCCCCCGCCCCCGAGAAGGCCGAGCCTAGAGCGGCCGCATGCCCTGAGAGGAAGCCCGTGGGGGGGGGGGGGGGGCATACCCGGGGAAGCGGCCGTAGGGGCCACTGGCCAGCCCAAAGCTGGCGCCGCCTCCCCCGCGGTGCGCTCGCCATCCCGAGTGGCCGCATGCCCTGAGAGGGAGCCCGCGGGGGACATACCCAGGGAAGCGGTCATAGGGACAGCCGAAGACACCTCATGGAGCCCCCCCCCGACCCCCCCGACTGCTCCACGGCCCCCTGCAAACGACTAGGTCAACGACGAAGCCCCTCCTCTCAGCGACGCCGACCCCAGCGACCGCCAGGACGGGCACGAGAACAGACCGACTGACGGCCGAACTGACACCCCTCCCGACGCCCTTCCCGACGCTTTCCCCGGCGCCCAGACCGACGCCCCGCCACACTCCCTACCCGACGCTGCGCCCGACGGCCAGGAGAGCGGCGCCGAGGGCGACGACGCTCCCTCCCCCACGATCCCTCGCCCAGGGGGCCCCCTCGACGACCCCCCCACCCGAACTGGCGACCCCTTGCCCAACGACACCCACGACGCCTACCTGCGAGTGCCCCAAGCCCTCCTACGACTCCTCGTCACGACGACCCGATACCCTGCCCGACTCCCCGCCCGACGCCCTGCCCACCGCCCAGCCCAGCCCGACGCCCCACCCCGACGCCTCGCTGGACGACCTCACCGCGCCCGACCCCCTGCTGGACCCACCTCTGGCTGCGCGGCCAGCGCTACCCACGCGGACGGCTGGACGGCCCACAGGGACGCCCTTCTGACCCTCCCCGAGCCTGCCCTGGCGGACGACCCGAGGCCTCCACCCACGACGCTACCGACCACGACAGCGACAACGACGACCCGACGCCCCTCCCCAGAACGACGCGCCTCCCCACCACGACGCCCCTCCCCACGCACACCCTGACGCTCTGGCCTCCCACGACGGCTTACCACGACGAGCCAGCGTCCTGCCATCCTCCCAGCCCAATGCCCCGCCCCACTCCCCACCCGACGCCTCGCCCGACGACCACCACACGCCCGATGCCCTACCCGCTGCCCCACCCGACCCTCCACCCCAACCCGACGCACCCGACGCTCGATCCCTGCCCAGCGATGCCCGAAACCCCGACGCCCTATCCCACGCCACCCCACGCCACCCCAAGTGGACGACGTCCAGCCTGTGGGACCTCGAGGCCCGTACTTCGCTGGCACCAGTGCCATCGACGCCCAAATCCAGCATCTCCACGGCGAGTGCCGAACCGGCAATATGGCCCAGCAGCAACAGCCCCAGAATACTCGCAAGAGTGAGGAGGAACGCCAGGCGCTGGACCACCAAGCGGCCGACCTGACGCTCGCGACCCCACACCTGACGCCCCAACCCAGCCCCCCCTTCCGACGCCTATCCCGACCCCTCCCCTCCACGGGTGCGCTTCACCGACGCCATGCCTGGCGCCCACACCCCCGACGACGACGAGCCTCACGACAGCAGACCTCTCCGGTGCGTGCGATTCGCCGACGCGCCTTAGACTGCACCAGCCACTCACCCACGCAGGGATGGATGGCTACCGAGGCCAGTGACCACCTGCACCCTGCAGCGACGACCCCAGCCGAATACTCGGTCACCTTCCTTTCCCCCCCCGCCGCATGTGCAGCTGGCCTGTGGAACGAGCCTGGTCCATTCCTGGATCGCCCCCTCGACGCACCTATGCGAAGACCTCCCCACCCCGCCCCACCACTCCCCGAGCACCCGACGACCTACCCACGAGCACCCACCCCAACGCCACCACGCCGACGGCAACCTCTCGGGGGACGCCAACTTCCGCAACGGCTACTCCGTGCACCTGGACGCCGGCGTCGTCGACACGACCCTGAGGGGCCGGCAACCCGCCCAGGAGAGGGTACGATTTCCTGGTTCCGGTTCGAGAGAAGGCAGGAGCTGTCTTCCTCGGGCTCCAGGGGCCAGGCTTGGAGGCGTAGCCCCGCAGGCCTCCCGGGCGGCCCTCGCCAGTCGTTTCTTCCAGTGGGGTTCAGCAGCAACCGCAGCAGCAGGTGCGCCCGTAGTCTCGACTCTCGAGGAGAAGGAGGAGGAGGAGCAGGTGGAGGAGGAGGAGGAGGAGGAAGAGGAGAAGTGGAGGGAGGGAGGGAGGGAGGGAGGGAGGGAGGGAGGGAGGGAGGGAGGGGGAGGAGGAGGAGGAGGAGGAGGAGCGAAGCGAAGCGAGCGAAGCGAAGCGAAGCGAAGGATGGAGGAGGAGGAGGGAGGAGGAGGAGGAGGAGGGAGAAGGAGGAGGAGGAGGAGGAGGAGGGGGAGGAGGAGAGAGGAGGAGGAGGAGGAGGAGGAGGAGGAGGAGGAGCCCCCCCTCTGCCCACAGGTACCTAGTTGATCAACCCCGACCCCACCCCCAGAGGAGACCGCCCCTTGGGGGGGGGCAACGTCACCATTGACATCAATGTCATCAGAGTCCAGCGCCTAAGAGGAGGAGAAAGAAGACTAGGAGAGGGGAAAATGAGGAGGAAAGGCGTTCAGGAGAAGAGGATCATGAGGATAAGGAGGCAGAGGGAGGAAGACGTGGAGGAAAGGGGAGGAGGGGGAGGAAGCATAGTATGGAGAGAGGAGGAGGAAGAGGGAGAAGGAGCAGAGGACATGAAGCAGGGAGGAAGAGGCGGGACAGAAGGACGGGCAGGGGGGAAGAGAACAAGGAGGGAAGTAGGAGTATCAAAAGAGAGAAATCCCCACCACCACCACCAACGCTAAACCCCCACACGTCCTGACTTGGCCTGGATGGTGTGGCGAATGTCGGCTCCCTTCAGCAAGATCAGGAAGCCATGCCCTCTGAAACCAAAACAGGCTTGATGAGGCCTAACATGTTCCTCCACTCCCGATCCTGTTGGTCATCCTCCCCCTCGGTCCCCCGTCTGCTCCTCTCCCCCTGCTAAATCTCCCCATCTCCGTCTCCTCATCCTTCTCCGCCTCCCGCTCCTTCCTCCTCCTTCCTCCTCCTCCTCCCTCCATCCCACCCTCCCTCCCTCCCTCCCTCCTTCCCTCCATCCTTCCCTCCCTCATTCCCTCCCTCCCTTCCTCATCCTGCCCCGGATGATCACTCATAATGTTCCTCGTCCTCCATGATGCTCCTCCTCCTCCTCCTCCTCCTTCTCCTCCTCCTCCTCCTCCTCGTCGTCGTCGTCGTCGTCTTGGTGGTGGTGGTGGTGGTGGTGGTGGTGGTGGTGGTGGTGGTGGTGGTGGTGGTGGTGGTGGTGGTGGTGGTGGTGGTGGTGGTGGTGGTGGTGATGGTGGTGGTGGTCGTCGTCGTCGTCGTTCTCGTCGTCGTTCTCGTCGTCGTCGTCCTTGCCGTCATCGTCGTCAGCACTCCTCCTCCTCCTCCTCCTCCTCCTCCTCCTCCTCCTCCTCCTCCTCCCGACTCCCAAGGACGGGAGAGCCCACGAGTCCCACCCGCCACCTACACACAGGGCCATGCCCCCTCAGGAGCATCATTACTACACAACAATTGGCACGCCCGAAATTGAAGAGCAACGTCAGGGGGGGCAGGCCCAGAAGGGGAAACATGGACCCCCAATCGCCCATTGATCGCAGATAGGGCTCGTTAGCCCAACCCGCCCAGGATCGCGCGGATTCGCGATCGGGGGCCCATCGCCGATCTATCGGCGATGTGTCGCCGACTTCAGGTCGTTGTTTCCGCCCCCGAGCCTATCTTCCCCAAACGTTGGCCCTGAGAAATGGGTACGGGAAAAGTGGGTCCGATGCACAACAGCAAAGCGTGTCAAAAACCGACAGCGGCCGCGAATAGGCAGGCGACGTTTGGTCTGGGGTGGACAACGTCCGCGGCATCAGTCTTGCTCAAACATACGTAGGCAGGAACTTCTGTCGGTCTGGGCCACCATTCTTTTGTGTCCGTTGCAATCCTCCAAATAGAATCCCCCTCCTTGTCATCCTGCCAAAACCTCGGAAATCTTGAAGTTCCAATACCAGGTCCCTGGAACTGTGGACCACTTCCTGGGAAACCGTTCTTCCTCCCAGAAAGTGTTCGACGGTTCTGGGGCCCAGCGGACCCCCAGACCCCGAAAACGACCAAAAACCTCCGTCCTGATTCGTTCAATGCGTTGGAGGTCTGAGCCCCCCCCTCCAACGAGGCTAGCCATGCGTCCCAGCTGCTTCCCCAAGGTTGGCTCCTCGTCCCAGATCCGTTTCTGATGGTCTCGAGGCCCGAACACGACATCCGAGGGCCGAAAAGAGGAAAAACGCCCCGATGAATATCAACAACAAATTTCGGAGATCTGGGATCTTCCTCCCCCTCCTCCTCCATCGGGGAGAGGACCGCCGCCACGCCGCCGAGGCCGAAAGTCGCGGCCGTGGAGGTCCCCGCGGAGGCGGCCAGCGACGCCTGCTCCCCGAGCGCCGCCGTGGGCTGCGTGCGCGGCGCCTCCGAGACGACTCGGCAGAGCCACGACCCTCCGCCCTCTGCAGTCCGCCATGTCCCTCTTCGACCTCCTCCGCCGCCTCCTCCTCCTCCTCCCTCCTCCTCCCTCTCCTCCCTCTCCTCCCTCAACTGCCTCCTCCATCCTCCCTCCTCCTCCTCCTCCTCCGCCTCCTCATCCTCCTCTCGCCTCCTCCTCCCTCCTCTCATCTCTTCCTCCTCCTCCTTCCTCCTCCTTCCTCCTCTCTCTCCTCCTCCTTCCTCTCCTCTCCTCTTCCTCCTCTCCTCCTCCTCTCCTCCTCCCTTCCTCCTCCTCCTCCTCCTCCTCCTCCTCCTCCTCCCCCCCTCCTCCTCCCCTCCTCCTCCTCCCCCCCCTCTCCTCCTCTCCTCCCTCCTCCTCCTTCCCCTCCTCCCTCCTCCTCCTCTCCTCCTTCCTCCTCCACCCCTCCTCTCTCCTCCTCCTCTTCCTCCTCCCTCCTCTCTCCTCCTCCGCCTCCGCGCTCCTCTCCTCCTCCGCAGCCTCCGCCCCCTCCTCCGCCTCCTCCTCCTCATCCTCCCTCCTCCGCCTCCTCCGCCTCCTCCGCCTCCGCCTCCTCCTCCGCCTCCTCCTCCGCCTCCGCCTCCGCCTCCGCCTTTTCCTCCTCCTCCTCGTGTTCTTCGTATTACTCTTCTTAGTATTATTATTACTCTTCTTATTATGATTAGTATTTTTATTATTAGTATTATTATTATTATTATCATTATTATTATTATGATTATTTTTATTAGTATTATTATCATTATTGTTATTATTAATATTATTATTACAATTATTATTATTAATATAATTATTATTATTATTACTATTATTATTATTATTATTAGTAGTAGTATTATTATTAATATTATATTATCATCATTATTATTACTGTTTTTATTATTAATATTATTATTATTATTATCATTATTATTACTATTATTAGTATTATCATTATTAGTATTATTATTATTATTAGTATTAGTATTATTATTGTTATTATCATCATCATCAGTATTATTACTATGATTATTATTATTAATAATATTATTATTCGTAGTATTATTATTATTATGATTATTAGTAGTGTTATTATTATTATTATTATTAGCGTTCGTATGTTTATTTGTCTTATTCTTCTTATTAGTATTAATAATAATTCTTATTCGTACGATTATTTGTCTTATTATTATTCTTAATATTCTTATTATTATTCTTAGTATCGTTCTTCTTCTTACTATCATTAATATTGTTATTATTATTAGTATTTTCAGTGTTATCATTAAGAATAATATTATTAATACTAATAATAAATATTAGTAATAAGAGTATTACTACTAAAAGTATGATTATTATTGGTATTAGTTTTACTATTGGTATCGGTATTAGTAATATTACTAATATTATTACTATTATTAATATTAGTATTAGTAGTATGATTCTTCTTCGTATTAATATTCTTATTAGTATTAGACTTATTAGTATCATTGTTATTCTTAGGCGTCGTAGTCGTTTTCGTCGTATTCTTCTTATTTGTATTAATATAATATTATTATTAGCACGCTGTCTTAAGCGCGGGGGGCGGGGAACTGCGCAAGCAGTAAAAGGTTTTCTGTTGCACTATTCTCGTGAACACAGCAAAGTCATCGCGATGAAACCCGACCGACCTCGGATCGGACGGGTGCTACAGGTGCCTGAACAAAACACGCTGGCCCCAGAAAGTCAGTGAGCATTCGAAAAATGCAAGATATATATATATATAATTATATATATATATATTAATAATACTTTATATATATATATATGTGTATATAATGTATATATATATATATAAAATATTTTTTTATATATCTATATATTTATATAAATTATATATTATATATTATAATAATAATATATTTATATATATATAATATAATGAAATATAAAAATAAAAAAAAAAAAAAAAAAAAAAAAAAAAAAAAAAAAAAAAAAAAAAAAAAAAAAAAAAAAAAAACGGCCTTGGGTTGGCGGCGGGAGCCAAAACGGAGCAGCTACAGATGCATAGAAGCTGTTCGGCACCGCAGTGCAATTTCCCAAACAGTGCAGGCACGACGGAGCAAGGACCCCCGGGGGGCGAAGCGCGATTATCCACGCGCCCACGCACCGAGAGGGTTGGGGTCCGCGACAGGGCCCGCAATTTTACATCATTCATGTGCACGCACCCCCATGCTGTCTTAAGCGCGGGGGGCGGGGAACTGCGCAAGCAGTAAAAGGTTTTCTGTTGCACTATTCTCGTGAACACAGCAAAGTCATCGCGATGAAACACGACCGACCTCGGATCGGACGGGTGCTACAGGTGCCTGAACAAAACACTCTGGCCCCATAGCATCCCCAAAACAGGATGTTCGCTCAAACCTTGAAGAAAAGGAACCTGGCCTGAGACACAAGGGTCTTTGCGAGCGCTCTATTCAAAGCCTGTGGGTAGGTCTGGGCTATAGTGGTCCACCTCACGCCTTCGGGGGATGCCCCTTCGAGGATGAGGTGCGGCCTGCCCGTGCGGCTGCAAATTCCTGCAGACCCGTCGCATGTTTTTGTTAATCGGGCGAGCTCGTCTGAGTGACAGTGTCCTACGAGGAAACGGGTTCGCTTTCGCCAGCGAGCTCCGAACTGACAGAAATCTGAAATGACAACTGATACACACTGTAGATTGGCGAGTCTGAGGAGCTCTGGCATTTTAAACATGTAGCTGCTACGAGGGTTCTCTAAAATCCACGGAACGCAAGAACGATTGCACCCTGCGATTATCTTCAGCACTGCACGCAAACACTTGTTGCCCGTCTGTAGTTTCTCCCAATCCTTGGGGGCCACCTCACTACGGGAAAAAAACCCAAGGCCGCGCGACGTCTCCGATCGCGGCCGAGCGGGCCTTCATCACAGAGAAAGTAGAGCAGGGGGGCGCGAGCATTACGCCTCGGCAAATCCCTGCACGGGCGTCTGAGAGCAAACGTTCCAGGACGGGCGGCCGCGCCAGGTCGCCGCGGCCCCCGCGGCGCTTCTCCCAGACCCTCGCCTGGAAGCCGCACCTACGGATGGATCTGGCTACGCCGCCCTCACCGGCGAACGCGTCGGCAAAATAGATGTCGCTCACGAGCGGCCGCCCTTCAGCGGCAGCGGGACGACCAGTCCGCGGCGGATGATCGCCTCGGCACGTCGCTCGCACTTGGAGGCGTAAGTTTGTACCTGGATCGGGTGCTGGCGGAGGCCGCCGGCGAGACGTGCGTGTCGTACGTAGTGCGGGACGCTCCTGCCGCCGCGCCACTGACCTCTCCTCCTGACGTCGGCCAGGGCCCTTAGGTGCCGGGCCGCGTCGACGAACGGGCTCGAATGGGGGGCTTGAGATGGCACGAGCTTGGGCACCCCGATCTCCTTCGGCATTCCCCTGGCCGGGCCGATCCACGTCGCCCAGCTCGAGTCCAGGAGGACGGGTACCTTGGCGTCGCCCATCTGGCATTTGCTCGCCGTCTCGTCGGGGCGAACCAGCCGCGGCCAGTGGGACGTCACCTTGGGCGCAGGCGGCGTCAGCCCTGAGTTGCGCATGCCCAGCAGGTGCCCCGGCCCCAGGTAGGTGATCAGCATGATCAGCACGAACAGCGACATGACGCGACGCCCAGACGTCCTCAGGGCGCCCATGAGCTTCAGCCACATGCCCAGGGCCTCGGGCCTCCACGAGCGGCCGGGGCACAACCTGCACCAGCCTCCGAGGACCCGCCAGGCCCGGGGCACCCGTCTGGAGCCCAGGCGGTTGTAGCCCGGGTGGAGGTGCAGCCAGCCCGCCAGCGTCTTGGCCCCCCTCGAGGCCTCCGCGCCGCCGAAGAAGATCCTCCCGGAGTATGCGGCGAAAAAGCCGTCCAGCACGCAGTCCCCGATGCTGTCGAGGTCCTTTCCCTTCGACTCGACGGACTGCTTGAACTGGTTCGCCTCCAGCCTGCACTCTGTGAGCCCGGGCCTTGTCACAGCCCGCTTCTCCAGCAACGTCAGCCCGTCGCTCTGTGCCTCCATGGCCTCCTCGAGGTACTCGCGGAGGAGAGACTTGGACCTGTCCAGCAGCATCCGAAGGCGCTCGGCGCCGACGCCCTCGCTGACGAATCTGATGCCAGTGTTCGACGAGGGCGAGAGCTCCCGATGACGACGATCGGGCGGCTTGGCGAAGTCGCCGCTCGTGGAGTCGGTCACGGCCGCCGCCATCTGCTCCAGCGCCCCGGCAGTCGCAACGCCCTGGCGGCCCGCTGGCAGAGGGGCGAGGCCGGCTGCAGGCTGGAGGCTCAAGGCGCGCTCTCGCCGCGGCCGGGCCGGGTCGTGGCGCACCTGCCTCGGGACGGCTGCCAGTCCGCGAGCCCTCGGAAGGCGCGAGGGCGCCGCCGCGGGCGTGAGCCCTGGGGCGCTGCTGCCACGGGCCCGCGTCACTGACGCATGGGCGGGGGCCGACGGGGCTCGGCTCTTCCGCGCGGTAGGGGCGCGCCTCACTGCTTCGAGCCAAGGGGGCGACCGACGGTCCAAGACCCTGTTCAGGATTAGCTGGAATAGGTTGGCTGCTGTTGTAATTCAAGATGCGCGGGCTTGGCTGCTGCTTCGTTGCGTGGGCTTGGCTGCTGGAGTAGGCTGGCTGCTGATACAATTCATGGTGTTCATGATGTAATTCACGATGTTCACGAACGTCTATATCGCTAACGTTGTGTGGCTTTACTGAATGACCGTAATGATGTTGGCTATCTTATTGTACTTCATGATGACTGTTACCCAAGAGCTCGTGTTCACATTCTTGCTCATGATGATGATATAGAGGCTCCGACGTTTGCTTGCTGACGACATGGTTCCCTTGGGGCTCCTTGAGGTCCTGGGTGTCTGGCCGAGATACATGAGACGGGATGCACCAGGCCAATTAGCAAGAAGCGTTATCGTCAAAAATACGAGAGGCCTCGTCCGCCGCCCCGTTCAGCTCACTCGGGAT